GTGAGTGAGTGGGTGGGCGGGTGAGTGGGTAGGTGAGTGAGTGGGTGGGCGGGTGAATGGGTGAGTGGTTAGGTGAGTGAGTGGGTGGGCGGGTGAGTCCGTGAGTGGGTAGGTGAGTGAGTAGGTGGGCAGGTGAGTGGGTAGGTGCGTGAGTGGGTGGGCGAGTGAGTGGGTAGGTGAGTGAGTGGGTGGGCAGGTGAGTCGGTAGGTGAGTGAGTGGGTGGGCGGGTGAGTGGGTGAGTGGGTAGTTGAGTGAGTGGGTGGGCGGGTGAGTGGGTGAGTGGGTAGGTGAGTGAGTGGGTGGGCAGGTGAATGGGCAGGTGAGTGGGTAGGTGAGTGAGTGGGTGGGCGAGTGAGTGGGTAGGTGAGTGAGTGGGTGGGCGGGTGAGTGGGTAGGTGAGTGATTGGGTGAGTGAGTGGGTAGGTGAGTGAGTGGGTGGGCGAGTGAGTGGGTAGGTGAGTGAGTGGGTGGGCGGGTGAGTGGGTGAGTGGTTAGGTGAGTGAGTGGGTGGGCGGGTGAGTCCGTGAGTGGGTAGGTGAGTGAGTAGGTGGGCAGGTGAGTGGGTAGGTGCGTGAGTGGGTGGGCGAGTGAGTGGGTAGGTGAGTGAGTGGGTGGGCAGGTGAGTCGGTAGGTGAGTGAGTGGGTGGGCGGGTGAGTGGGTGAGTGGGTAGTTGAGTGAGTGGGTGGGCGGGTGAGTGGGTGAGTGGGTAGGTGAGTGAGTGGGTGGGCAGGTGAATGGGCAGGTGAGTGGGTAGGTGAGTGAGTGGGTGGGCGAGTGAGTGGGTAGGTGAGTGAGTGGGTGGGCGGGTGAGTGGGTAGGTGAGTGATTGGGTGAGTGAGTGGGTAGGTGAGTGAGTGGGTGGGCGAGTGAGTGGGTAGGTGAGTGGGTGGGTGGGCAGGTGAGTGGGTAGGTGAGTGAGTGGGTGGGCAAGTGAGTGGGTATATAGGTGAGTGAGTGGGTGGGCTGGTGAGTGGGTAGATGAGTGAGTGGGTGGGCGGGTGAGTTAGTGGGTAGATGAGTGTGTGGGTGGGCGGGTGAGTAGGTGAGTGGGTAGATGAGTGAGTGGGTGGGTGAGTGAGTGGGTACATGAGTGAGTGGGTAGGTGAGTGAGTGGCTGCGGGTGTTTTGTCCTGTACCTGCAGTTGTGTCGGTTGAACGCAGTGTGGGTGCCATGCATCTGTCAGTCTGGAAGATCTTGTCTTCAACATGAGCGGAGGAATCAATTAGTTAAGTTCATGGGAACGGTGACCACGGCAATAGTCGCAGCTATAGAAGAGTGATAAGGAAAGATAATGTAGATGCAGCCAGTGGATATTTGGTGCGCGTAAATTACTTTTCCGTAAAACCTGGAGCCCTTTGGCCTACTTGTGGCCTCGCGGCCTTCGTTTTGTGTCCGCTTGCGCTTAGCGCCAGCACTGCTTGCGTTCGTCCGGGTGCTGCGAGCCGACCCCTGACCCCAAGTCGAACTCAAAACTCTGCATCGCTCGGCGGCTTATGTGCTCGCACAGCGATGTGTGCACCGGTGCTGTCAAACGTGACCCACGCCGCCGCCGCCGAACAAATAGCAAACACTTTCATTTCGGATTAAACAAACCCCATGGGGAGGCTTTCATCCAGCAGCGGATTTACAAAGGAAGCTAAATATAGAATCGCGGCACTGCGGAACGTTTACCGCTGTGGCTAAGTCGTGACCTATTTCAAGACGATGAAATACAAAAATTTAAATATGTTTGGAGTCCACGGGCCTGTTGGCCTTGGAGACTTATGTGAAAGGAATATCTTATCTTGTATTCAATTGGCGCTCTCACCCAAGCCGCTTTACAACAGGCATGAGTTGCACAATTCGGGTAACTAAAATGATACGGTGAATACGGATGGGGTATATGGAGGACGGATAGTGGCTGCCGGAATTATGGGGGGGGGGGGGGGGGGGTGCCTGGGGATGGAGGGAAGGATGGGCCAGGGAGAAGAGGTGGGCCTTGAGGGGGGAGAGGAAACGAGACAGGGAGGGTGTCTTGCTCACGTCTTTCTGGCAAAGGGGCCTCCACTTGGCAGCAACGCAGAGAGAGTAGCTCCGTGCGGGCATTTTGCCCTACTCTTCCACGTTTTGTAAGAGGTGGCAGTAGCGACAACCAAACGCAACCGACTGCAGGCGACCTGCAGATCGATTAACGCCGGTGAACCCATTCAAGCCCGCTGGGTGGACAGAGGCGACTGCGGCGAGATTTGCACAAATCTCCCAGCCGCTTCAAGCCGCCGCACCGGGAAGGCTCGCGTCGACCGGCTCGAACCAGACGCTGAAAACTGTCGGGTCGCGCCGACATGCGGGGAACGCTCCGTTGCAGGGCGTGCGAGAAGGAGCGCTCCAGCCGAATTGTTTACACGCCGCAATAGGCGATGAGAAGAGTCGCTTCAGATGTAGTTCTTTGACATCACCTTCCGTGTGCCCGTCGTCTGGCACGTTGGCGGGAGCTCCGCGTGGACTTTGTCGTTTTCGTTCCTTGGCCATGTGACCTCGGAGAGCGCAATTGAGATGCGAGTCGGGTAACAATGTAAAAAAAAAGCAACCCAACACTCGTGTAACGTCGATCTTAAAATGAAACACAGCACCGTGCCTTAATGTAGCCGCGCAACGTGGAGCCGATGGGTCCGACTTCGTCAGAAATGTCATCGTTACATCTGAGAGCGACCGAGCGCTCGGTTCGAGCGGGAGACGGCTGCTGTGGCTGTCGCTCTGTGGGCCCACGCTCGCCCGACCGTCTCGATGCGCAAACTCCTGCGGCAAAAAACAAAAATTATTACGCCACACTTCGACGTTCCAAGTGGGGGGACTGCGAACCCCCCCCGATCAAAGGAATGGCTCTGCCCCCCTCCCCTTCCCCCCCTCGTGTTCGCCCCCCCCCCCCACCCCACCCCACCCCGTGATCCGTGGATCACACAAATCACTAGAGACACGCGCCGGTTGTATGGCAGCCAAGAGCGGTTGATGCGAATGCTGTCGCAAGAGGTCGCACGCTGTTTGGGGGCAACGGTCCTGAACTGGACCGTGATGCGGTGATGAATGAATCAATGAAATAAAGCGCTGACCTGCTCGCTAAACGCCAGAGGGCGCTATACGTTGGTGGTGACAACGAGAGTTCACTATTTCACTCGGGCTTGCCTCATGTATCTTCCGTGGGTTCTCTGTATTGCGTCTCTATGGGTTCATAGTTTGACTCGCATGGCCACAATCGCACTACTGTGGCTTGTGACGTTGGACACTTTGTTTTCTGGCCTTGAGAACTCTTGTTTAAGGGCGCTTTATAAAATTACAATTATTATTGAATTGTAAAAGTGTTCACTGACGGACGTGGAGTAACCCAGTAAGCGTGCCGAGGCTGGACCAACGTTCTCTAAGCGCTCCATCATTGCCGTACTGGGTAGGCGTGTAACGATGCATCGAGTCGTCCATTGATATCCATTCCACGTGCGATGAATGGTGCATTAGTCGTTTGCCCAGGAAAGCCTCACTGAGTATCGTGACTCTCATTCAGAAGGGTCCTGCCAAGATGTTAGTTTTTACGGTAGGATTGTGGGGAGCGGGGGGGGGGGGGGGGAGTGAGTGGGGGGTGGGGGTGAGTGGGTGCGGGTGTGAGTGGGTTTGAGCGGATGGGGCGGGTGAGTGGGTAGAGAGGGTGAGTGGAGAGGGGGGGTTCAGTGGGTGAGGGGGGGTGAGTGGGTAGGGGGGGTGCATGGGGGGCGTTCAGTGGGTGGGGGTGTGAGTGGGTGGGGGGTGAGTGGGTGGGGGGGGGGTCAGTGGGTGGGGGAGGGTGAGTGAGTGGGTGGGTGGAGGGGGTGAGTGGGTGGAGAGGGGTGAGTGGGTGGAGGGGGGTGAGTGGGTGGTGGTGTTCGTGGGGGTGTGAGTGGGTGGGGGGGTGAGTGGGTGGGGGGGGGGGTTAGTGGGTGGGGGGGGTGAGTGAGTGGGTGGGTGGAGGGGGTGAGTGGGTGGGGGTGTGAGTGGGTGGGGGTGTGAGTGGGTGGGGGGGGTGAGTGGGTTGGGGGGGTTAGTGGGTGGGGGGGTTAGTGGGTGGGGGGGTGAGTGAGTGGGTGGGTGGGTGGAGAGGGTGAGTGGGTGGAGGGGGGTGAGTGGGTGGTGGTGTTCGTGGGGGTGGGAGTGAGTTGATGGCGGGGTGAGTGGGTGGGGGTGGGGCGATTATTGCTCAGTGTCATCCCAATCGAGTTATTTGCATGTGAATTATAATACGCAATTGTCACGTATGAAGATAATTAAATAAACAACGCAAAGTACAGGCTGGTCCAGATGTACTGTGACCCCCTCGCCAATTTTATTGGCCCCGAACATTTTTTTTTACATCGCAAATTAATTTCTGTTTTAAATACACCTTACTTTCAATATATATGTGAAGTTTCAGTGATTTAAATGGGGACACAAGACACCTGGACCACCCTATGGTCTAACACTGGTGAGACAAGACCATGTAGAAGGCTGTCTCTGGTGTGGGTCAATCAGTTTCAAAGACAAGGCAGAAATTATCAGAGCATGTTTGTTTGCATGTTCACCACTGTGTGTGCTTAATGGAGACTCAATGCCTTGCAAATGGTTTCTATTTGGTGTTTGCAAATCTTATCACCTCCTGTTTTATTGCCAGGAAGGGTAAAAACCTATTGTTATATTGTTGCATTATTTTGATACTTGGCTTAAAAAAAGGTCCCATAGATACCACCCTGTATCCTGTATGCCGGTGATGCTGCTGATGCTGCGTTGGCAGTGGTGCACGAACCACAAATCAACAAATACTCACTCAGCACGTTCCTCAATGTACACCGTTCGGAGGGGTTGGAGGTCCCTGGACCAAAATTCCACGAGAAATTAACCCCCACCGCCCCCACCCCTTCCCATCCCTGGTCAACCCATCGGCTCGCCCACTCCCTCCTCCACTAATCCCCCCGCCCTCCCCCTCGCTCTCCGCCTCCCTCCTCCTCCTCTCCGCTCTCCTACCCCCCTGCGTGTCCTCTCTTAGAGGACGACGCGAGCGAGCGAGCGGAGATTTCGAGAGCGGGAGTCGAGGAGGGAAGGAAAAGGGCCACGCGAAGGACCGGGGCGCTGTGAGAGGCCACGTGGGGAGTGAGTGGAAGGAGGAGGTGGACGAGAGCGGAGGGTGGCGGGAGAGGGTTCTGCTGCTGGAGAGAAGCGATCATGTCTCCTGCGCGCGGTCTATTGCTGGCCTGCCTCCTCTGTCTTCACGCGCAATCGGTGGGTCGTCTTGGTGACACTATACCGTCCACCAACCATATTCATCAGGATTATAAGACGCACTTTACCCCGTCTGTATTGGAACAGAAAAGGCGTGGGTGGGACTTAAAATCGAGTAAGTGTATACGTGCGTTTGTTTGTCTGACCTACGAAGCGGGCTACCCGAGTTCGATTCCCGCTCACGACCAATACCAGTGACGATTATCTGAACCAGTCCTGGGCCTCCCGTAGGACGACTCAGCCTCAAATGAGTACCTGGTCCTATGCTCAAACATCGCCACTGGGGAGACAAAGACGGTCGGTCGTGGTGCTGGCCACTCACCCCCTCCTGTACCGTTCCGGCCTTCGTGGGTGCTCGCAAACAGCACTTGCCCCTACAGTCTGTTAAAACACTATACGGGTGGGAGTCTTTGTCTGTGTGTGTGTGTCTGACCAAATTTTTATAACTTTGTTGACACCGGGCACAAGTTCGGGGGTTGCGTCTTACTTTCCGGTTCATCTTATAATCTGGAACATACGGTCGTTGTTGGATCAGATCAGATCAGGGATGATAGGAAGCCGTTTACTGTATCGTTATCTGCAGCAGCAATGTAATCATGGTCATTACCCCCATGATCGACGCCACCACCACCACCACCGCTGTAGTTTCCAAGCCCTTCAGTGTAAAGTTCGAGCTTCATTATTCAACTACAACCCAGCGTCTCTACTCCGAAAGAAGGACTTTTGTCTGACACATGCTATACATCTTCTTACAGGGTTCCAGATTCTGTGCGAACAAATGTGATGGGTTACTTAATTTGAGCAACTACCGTATCCTCCTGATCATAACTCGCACTGCAATGCAACACGCAACCAGCGCAGTTGGCCACGTACGGTGCGAAATAAGTTAAATGTACATACATACACACAGATTATAAGATGCTCCCCTCACTCGTACCTTTAACCGCATGTAGGGGAAGGGAATCATATAATCTGGAGAAGACAAAATCGGGCTCCAGCTTAAATCATTTGTTTTTTTTTGTGGAGAGATGCTTAGTTTATGATTTATATATTTCTAAAGTATTTTAACTGGCCATGTAACAATCTATTTAAACGCATTATTACGCTCACGATATATTATTCATCGAGTCGTCGCGTGATTATTGATCGTTCATACAAGCGACATGCATCATCATCATTGCCAAACCATGCTCAATCCACTGCTGGATGAAGGCCTCCTCCACAAGCCCCCCTGTCTCGCCACCTCTCACGGCTGTGGTTGGTTTGGCCCGGACTCGCTCCACCGTCTGTCGCTACTGGCTGGTGAAGGGGGGCACCTTGCCTTGGTATGGGTGCCCCTGTGACAGTCCAACAACCCAGGTCTACCGGGCACCGTGGCGTCTCGGTGGCGAGATGTTAACCGCCTCGCGGGAGGTCGTGGGCTCGAACCCGACCCTGATACCTGCTGTATATTTGAAGTTTGCGTGTTTTTCTCTCTCCCTGTTTGGTGCGTGGATTTTTCTCCGGGTCCTCCGCTTTTTTTCCCCCTCCACTTTTAGAATCAACGTGCGTTTTCAGTATTTGGCTGCTATCAATTTCCACGCGATAAGCCACTTCATTGAGCTATCATTTGTGGCGAGGTCGCTTCTGAAAAAGAGCCGTATATAGCTCATTGGGCCTTATCTGGTAAAATAAAATAAAAAAAATAGAGTTTTACCAAAGCATTCACTTCACCAAATCAAAGCAGTGTACCGTGGAACAAGCCCCATTAAATCACGACCACAACTCTAATAATAAATTAAGATCACATTTAAAGTGGAAAAAATTTGTTTACACAAAATTGCCAATGCAGGGTCCCTGATATACAATGTGGCTCGCTTTGCTAAACAATCATTAGGGAGGTATGTGGGTTCATTAGCTCTGATTAGAAAACACCACTGGCTCCTTACATGGCATCGGCGCTGCCAAGACATTTCGCAGAGGAATTGCTTTTTTTTCCCTGATGTGGTGGTGGGACACAGTTCCCAAGCAAATTCATTATTTTACTAGAGCCTTGTGAGAATGCCCTCGCAAGCAGTGACCTTTTTTTGCTGCGTTCCCATAAAGAAACATGTCATGTAAAAAATTTTTTATGAAATGCAATCGGGCAGCACAAAAAGTTAAAACACAGCAATGACCACCGAGGGAGGTCTCATCGGGAGGTCTTCTTAAGCCACACGATGGCCCCAAGAGTCGGCAGGAGTGAGCCGTATGCATTGTGTGCGTCACGTGATGATGATGATGGGGAGCGGGAGTGTAGCGGTTAGCGCGCCGCGCTACGAACCTGGCGACACCAGTGACGATTACGTGAACCGGTCCTGATCCTCCCTTATGTCGACTCAGCCTCAAATGAAGCAATTAGCGGAACCCCGGGATCCCATCACTGCCCCTGGGTGGGAAAAACCGCGTAGCGACACGAGTCTTGCCTTACCGACAACAAAACTAGTTTCAATCGATTGGCCTCTTCGAGAGCTACTCGGGGCACTAAGTTTCGTAAAAAGTTGAAAAATTACATAAACACGTTAAATTCACTGCCTGGGGGGGGCGGCGGGCTCGCCTTGGCAAAGAAGCTGAGGATCAACGGCTGACGGGAGGGCCTCGTCGCCGCGCGCGACTGCGGCAGACGCCCCCTGGGCTTGCGTTTGGCCGGTGGGGTGGCGCCCATCGTGTCGATCGCCGCCTGCTGCTGCTGGCGCTTGTTGGTGCGAGTCTGGGCGGGCGGCGCGTTGCTGGCGGGATCACGAGTGGGGCGGACTGAAAAATAATAATTATTGACCTGATTTTTGCGGGCCCCCGGGGTCCCGCCAAATGATTCAAATGAGTAACTGGTGCGATGTGTGAACATTGCCACGAGAGAGACAAAGGCGGCCGGGCGTGGTGCTGGCCACCCACCCCCTCGTGTGCCGTGTCGGCCTTCATAGGCGCTGTTAAGGATATACGTGGAATCTTTGTCTTTGTTTATGGTGGTGGTGATGATGATGATAGTTTTCAAGTAATTTTCTGCAACGTTGGCATGTGAGTAGGCTCTGCCCGTCCGTCTGTTCGTCTCTGTAAAAGAGGGGGGTGGGTGGTTCACGAAGACTCAATCTAATGACCCGGCACGGCGGTGAACCTACGGTCAGAACGCCCCCCCCCCCTCCCACTCCGTGACCTACACGGTAAACATCAATGGACATTTTTGCCACAGCGGTGGCCCTACATCTCAGCCACGCGCGAAATTCACGACCCGGAGGGGGGGCGAAAGAGAAACGATTCCTGGGCAAACGCCGAGCGGTTGGCACCCCCTGGAGGCCGCGGCGCCCCCCCCCCCCAAGTTTATTTTTTATTTGTGTTGTTTGCGGCGCGAAGAGCCAAGCCAACATTGGAGCTCGGCGGCGCTAATTGGATACCCGGTTCCCGACACATGACGCTGGCTGGCTCCGTTTGCCGCGGTCACACAGCGGTGGCGGCGACACCCCACCCCGCCGCCCCCCACTCCACCGCGGTGTTGGTTTTTCACGTGCCGCCGCTGCTGCCGACAGCGTTTAACGTGCGGGCGGTTCGCGAGTTGATGCCAATGCGGCGGGGGGGGGGGGGGGAATGCCCTTGTTTGTCAACCGCGCGGCGCTTCTGAAATCTTTTGAATTCGCGCACCGCCGCGAGCGACGCGCGTGACCCACGGGCTGCGTGCGCGCGCGTGCGTTTGGGCACCGTGCCGACATTCATGGGTGCCCCCGGCGGCCTGAAATGCTGCGTGGTGATCGTGTTGGGGACCTTTCTCTACTCCCCCCCCCCCCCTGTTCTCCACTCACTCTCGCTTCTCTCCCTTTCTCTCTTTGCCCCCCCCCCCACCCCCACCCCCCCGTGTTAACGCTTCTGCCCCGATGTGAGCTGCCAATAAAAAAAATCGAGGCTATTCATAGACCGCCGTCGTTCTGGCGAACCTGCCAGAAGCAGCGTGGACGGCTGCTGCCTTTTACGTCGGAGGCACGGAGGGGGTCGATGTGGTGGGGGGTGGGGGGGGGGAGGGCTCCCCTACAGGAGTAGCAAGCAGCAGGAAATCACCACACACACACACATTGCGCAACTTCGCAGCCAACATTTTTTTTAAATGATCCCTGTAATAATAATCATGATATGAGGGGCGTGGAAACAGCCAGGAAGCAGAGTGATGTCGGTGGAGTGAAGCCAGGAAGGAGAGTGATGTCGGTGTCACGGTGTGCAGAGCTCAATTTATCGTGGAACGGTCTCCAGGAGAATGATAATCTGTACTTAAACTGGAGAGGAATCCGATGAGCTAATAAGCTCCTTTTTCACAGATGTTCAGTAGGGGCGGTTAAGAACGTTACAAAAAACAACCAATGCAACAACGCGATACGATTGGGTGGGAACAACAATTCTGCGTCGCTGCCCCGGACAGCTGCAGCTGAAATGAGATCTCCCTGGAGCTGTGCGGGTTGTAGGTGCGAACCCAGCGCGCGCTGAGGTTAATGTGGACGCGTGTCGAGGTTCAAACCGTCCTCTGCATGGAACGGATCGCGATTTTGCGCGTCCAAGAATATGGTCGACAGTTCGGTCATCGGCGTTAGTCATCTCCGGCTTGCGACTGTGGCTGTCCAGAACAGACCGCACGACACGCAACCACGCAGCGTCCGAGACGCAGATATACACGAAGGAGACCACCGCAGCGATGGTGATGCCACTAACTCCGCTGCCTCCTGACGCGGTTGTCTGGGCCCTGACCACCTGAATGCGAAATTGTAGTTGTGTTGCTCTGCGTCTGCGATCAGCAGCCGTACGACAAGACGCATAATAAGATCATCATCGACAGCCATGATCGATCCACTGCTTGAACGAAGGCCTCCCCGAGCAGCTGGAGCATCTGCTTTAACTCCTTGCGCGTGTGGGCGGGTGTCATCTCGAACGTGAGTGCCTAAAGTTGCAGAAACGGCGTCGCTTTGGACGCGCGCACCGAGGAGGACGAAACCACCACGGCGTCGCCG